GGGGCTCCTCTCCCCACCCACCCCCTGCACCCAGAGTGGCCTAAGCTTGTCAGACACTGGATTGCAACTGGAGCAACACACATACAACTGCACACACAAAACCCACTCATAAGCCAGGCGCAGTGGCTCCTGCCTATAATCCTAGCTACTCGGGAGGCTGAGATCTGAGGATCACGGTTCAAAACCAGCCTGGGCAGGAAAGTCTGTGAGACTCTTATCTCCAATAAAAAACCACTAGAAAACCAGAAGTGGTGCTGTGGGTCAAATGGTAGAGCGCTAGTCTTGAGCTGAAGAGCACAGGGACAGTGCTCAGGCCCAGAGCCCAAGCCCCACAATCAACAACAACAACAACAACAAAAAACTACTCCCCAACCCTGAACTTACAGATGTGCTGACAAGTCGGCACACACACCACACCATGCAAGAGAAAATTTCGTGCAAGGACAGGCAATGGACCCACCTGACCCTGTGCAAACCACAGGGCACCACCAGCGCCAGGACCCCCGCCGCCACCTGTCAGAGGCCCGCAGCCGACCACGGTCAACGCTGTCAGGGCCACTTCCACGAAATGCAGAACATCTCACTCCAGCTCCATCCGGATGGCAGCAGTGCTAAGTTGGGGATCATGTGTTTTTACACGCTCAAAACTACTGTCACAGCCAGGCGCTGGTGGCTCACGCCTGTAACCCCAGCTACTCAGAAGGCTGAGATGGAGGTTTGACAAATACGAGCCTCTCATCTCCAGTGAACAGCAAAAAGCCAGAACTAGAGGTATGGCTCAAGTGGCAGAATGCCAGCTTTGAGCAAATAAGCTGAGAGAATCCAGGACCTGAGTTCAAGCCCAGTAGAGGCATGCACACACATATGCGCACACACAACTATCTTCACATCCTGCTTCTCAGATCCTCATAAACTCCTATGACACAGGACTCAGGTGCTGAGCCGCCATCCTACAGGAGGAAATGAAAACCAGAAATGCTCTGGTCCAATGCTTTGTCACATCCAATCTGACCCCACGAGGGGACAGGGTGCAGGCGGGGAGTGAGGGGCCCTCTGCCTGCTGGGTAATGGAGGAGCAGCTGCTCCAAGGGTTCGAACTTGAGCTCCATTGGCGCTGGACCTGGAAGACATGTTAGCTGCCCTCTCCTCTCACTGACCACTGACCCTGAGAGCCATGCACCACAGGGGCCCAGGCCCCCCCACATCTTGTCTTTGACTGAAGGACACACTCCATACGGGTCCTCCAAGAATGTGACAGCACCTCCTGCCCCGCCCCGCCCCGCCCCGCTCCAGGCCAGGCCAGCCTGTTTTCCTTGGCCCCTCTTCTGCCTTTCACACAGGCATGGGGCTCCGGATGCACACCATGTGTACACCACAAAGAAGAGAGAAAGCAAGCCTGGCAGGATGGCGCTGAGCCCTTCTGGGGTGTGGAGGAACCCACTTTGAACGTCAGGGCTTTTCATAAATGAAGCAGCAGGTCACCCATGAGTCACCAGGGACTTACACCGCGTGACAACTCCTTAATGCTATGTGTGTGCACTTTTACACAAACAGGTATTTTCATGGGATTGGGGGAGGATTTGTAATGGCCAATTTGAGCCAGGCATGAATGGCTCACACCTATAATCCTAGCTAGTCAGAGGGCTGAATCTGAGAGACTATCTCCAATAAACCAGCAAAAAGCTGGACGTGGAGGTGTGGCTCAAGAGTTAGCCCCAGTATGAGAGAGAGGAAGAGAAGGGAGGAGAGAGAGAATGAATTTGCCCAATGCCCTGTCCTCAGGGCTCACTCCCCATTCAGGTTGAAGCTGACTGCCTATGACTGTGCCCAAGAACCAGGGGACAATCCCCTGGGAGGAGGAGGGGTCAGTGCAGATAGCTGGTGCCTTTGACTGGAGCAGGAACCAGCAGCGGGGCTCAGGTGTGCCAGTTCTGAGCATCCACCATGGCCCCACCAGCTCCCTCTACTCCCAGCTTTCTTCTGAGGCACCCACTAAACTAACGATGCCTGCGAAGGACCCTGTGATATCAGGAGCCCACAGCAATCCCGAGGAGGGGCATGCCCACATTCTGTCCTTCCTTCAGGCAGTATGCCAGTCCTGGAAACTGAGGAAAGCAAATGTGGAGGTGACTCAGGCAGAGGCAGGTGGCAAGACCTAGCCCTGCCTGCATTAGAGGGGGTTGGCAGTGGAGCCAGGGGACCCCCAAGTCCGCAGGACAAGCCATTGGGACACAGGGACGGCCCTTTCCTGTCTACGATCCTCAGGAAGAGAGCTGGTGCCCTTGTGAACTTTCCCGAGGCCATTGCCCCATCAGGGCCACCACTTGGGACAGCGGCCTCTTTATTAACTCCCATCAACGTGGATGTCAGAGCAACCACACAGGAAGGGCAAAGGTGGACTCTTCTCAGAAGCACACTGCCACGTTACCCACACAAGGCAAGCTGGCTTCAGGTCAGAGCCTGCAGGCACCCTGTGCCCACCGCCTATCTGCTAAGCGGGTTGAAGTTGAAGGCTACGAAAGATAAATATGTGAAATCGGCCAGAGTGCATGCTCCTTGTGTCAGACAGGAGATTCAAACCAACAACAACAACAAAAGTACACATCCTGCACAACTCAGCCTATCATTTCAAAATCAAAGGCTGCGAGGAGCTGCAGCAGCCTCAGGAAAGTGAACAGGCGAAGGCCATTTAACCCGCGGGCCGCACTGCTTCCATGACAGTGAAGTCCTCAGAGGAAAGGCTCGGGCCTGGCCCGGGCTGCCCGGGGACGGTGCCAAATGCCACGGTTCCTCCTGGGATTATTTTCCTGTAGGCCCTGCTGGGCAGGCCTGCTGCGGAGCTGCACTTGGGCCCCCCACACCGCTTATCAAAGTGAAGATGGGGTCCCTGAACCCTTGAGACCCCCCCAGCCTCGGGCTCCGGGGTCGGGGGAGCCTCTTCATCATGCTCAATGAGCAATCCACCTTGAGCCACCCCTTTACGCCTAACCCACCGAATCTTCCGGAATTCAGGCTGGGACTTCCACGGGCCGCCACCAGTAGCCACGCAGTGACTAAACACTTTTCCCCAACACAAGAGAGGAGAAAGAACAAGTACCCCCAGCGCAAGAAGCGGGCCTGGGTCTGAGCGGACGCCGCCCCCGGGCTGCCCCGCCCGCGGATCGGATCCGGGAGCGCTTGGCCCGCGGCCGGGGACGCCGCGGCCCGGCCTCGCAGCTGCGGCCTCCGCGCCCCGCCCCTTCCCCCCCAACAACCCGCGGCGTCACGTGACGGCGGAGAAAAGTAGGGGAAAGGTTACCGGGAGCCCCGCCCCCGCCGGCGCGGCGCGGGCGCGCAGATCCTGTTCCCCGGGCTGTGCCCACGGAGCCCTTCCGGAGCCAGGCCGCCAGCGACCGCGGGCCCCGGGGCGGCCACGCTTCCCGTGGGGGGGCCGCGCGCGCCCGGGGCGCCGGCCCTCGCGGACGGGCCGGGGGTGCGCGGCCGGCGAAGCCCGTCGCGGTTTTATGAATGGGCCCGGGATTGGCTAAGCACGGGCGGGGAGCCCCGAGCCTCCCGGGAGACCCAGGCCGACTCCGGGTGAAGCCGCGGGTTTCCAGGGCAAACACGCCGGGCGGTCCCGGCCCGCGCTGGCCGGCCTCCCCGCACACGGGAGCGTGCGCCCCGGCACCTGCCCCCCCGCCGTTCCTGCGACGCAGGAGATGGGGTTCGGGTGGAAGGTCGCGACCGGCGACGCCTCGTGGGAAGGAAACCAGCCATTTACATGAGAAAAGGAGCCCGCAGGCTCCCGGCCGGCCCGACCCACTCGGAATGCTAATGGTGCCCAACTTACGGCCGTGCGGGCGGGCCGCGGCGCCCTCCCCGCAGCGCCGGCCTCGCGCGCCCGGCCCTCGGTCCCCAGCGCCGCCCGAAGTGGGGGGGGGGGGGGCAGGGCTGCCCAGCCCTTTTTTAATCCATGGAAGCTTGTGGCCTCGCAGAATAAACATGCCTGCAGATCTGGACGGCCCAGAAACCAGACTCCGCGGCGAGGAGCCCCGGTAACAGAATACGCGGTTCAAAGCCCACTTTCCCTTCACCCGGTGACCGGGTCCCCACTACGCCCTGGCACGCCTCCACGCATGCGTGCCAAGCCCGCCCCGGCTGCGAATATGAATAATAAGTTCGTTCTGTGTGGGCAATCTGGTCATTAGTTGTCATTCTTAACTCCTGAAAAGTACATGGAGGCCTCGTCTTCGTTTCCGGAAACCAGACTCGGGTTTCCAGCAGAGAAGCCACACGGATCGGTGGCCTTCCCCGAGGCACAGGAGAGACACCGGCGACTGGCCGGTCCCGGGGGCGGCGGGGGAGGGGGGGACCCCTGGGGCCACCCCGGCGCGCCCACGGCTGCACGGCCAAGTTCGCCCGGCCTCGTCACGTGACACCCCCACCCTCCCGGGCCGGCCTGGCGCGACCTTGCGCTCCGCACCCACCTGCCCTTGACCCCGCGCCGCACCGGGGAGGGCGGGGGCGCACACAAGGCCGGGGTGCGTCCGGTTCCCGCCGGCGCTCGCCCCGCGCCCAGGGCGTGTCCCGACGGCTGCACTGCGGGGGGCGGGCGAGGACAGGTCCCCGGCCGGACAGCCGGATACCGCCGTACCCGCCCGCGGGGTGGCACGCCCTCGGGCGGACCCCCGGACCTTCGCCGCGAGGAACGGAGCCAGGAAAGGAATCGGTGGCCCCGCCGGCTCCGTCCGCGACCGGGGCGTCCCGACAAGTTCCCGCCCTGAGCGGCAGCCCGACCCTCGCGCGGACCCCAGACCCCACACAGCCGCGCCCCGGAGGCACCGGGGACGGGAAGACCGGAGCCCGCAGCCCCGCGGGTCCCCGGCCGCAGGTGTCCCGCCACGTCCCGAAGGCCGAGCATCCCTCCCGGGGCCCCGGTCTCCGCAGTCCTCGCGCGCCCCCCGCCCAGGCCCCCCGGGCAGCCCCGCCACGCTCCGCACCCACGGCGCGACCGGTCTTACCGAGCCGGCGGACAGCGGCGCGGCGGCGGCGGAATGAGCGAGCGGCGCGCGGGCGCCGTGGGCGGGAGGCCGCGGGTGAGGCCGAGCGCACCGACGCCGGCCGCCGCGGATTGGCTGCGCGGAGCCGGGCTGCGGCACGGGCGGGCGGGAGGCTCCCGGCGCGCGCGGGAGGGGCGGGGCGTCGGGGGCGGGACTCCGGAGGGGGGCGCCGCGCCTCCGACGCCCGCGGGAACACACCCCCCCCGCGCCCCGCCGGCGGGCCTTTGCCCGCCCGGGTCTGAGGCCAGAAACCTGTCCAGTGAGCCTCAGTTTCCTCATCCATCAAATGGGCCACCTCATTTTGCCCAGGCCCATGAAAGCCCGGAGCGCTGCGCCCGGAGGGTTACGCGCCAGGTTTATGGGCACCGCCGCCCCAGGCCCCTCGGCGTCCCCGCGGGCTGATGCTGTGTACCCCGCCACCACCCCACCGGAAGCAGCCCAAGGCGCGCCCCAAGTCGGATCCCTCTCCCCCAGTGGCAGTGGCGCCGCGTGAGGCGCGGGGCCGCGGGGGGGGCCGCACCCCAATGCGCTTCTCCTCACCCAGCTGCGCCCCTCGCTGGACCTCGGGGAGACTTGGTAGAATGTGCTCAGCATGAGCTTAATTTCTCGTCCCCCCCCCCCAAAAAAAAATAACTTTCCTGGCGTCAAGAACATGGTACTTCAGCAGGAACAGGGTGCTCGGGCTGAGAACCCGGTGATCGCTCGGATCCGGGCGGGGGGTCCGGCGGATCCCGATGATCCGGCGCCAGAGGCCGGGCTCCCCGTGCTTGCCCTGCCCCCCCTCCCCCGCCACGGCTCCCAGGGCAGCGCGAGGTCGGGCGCCCGGGGCTCGGCTCGCGTACGCCCCCATCCGTCTCGGTCCCTCGGTCCTACCACCGAGGACAGGAAAGGAAAATGGAAGTGTCGGGGCAGCTTGTTCGCCGTCCCGCGCGCTCCCCCAAGGCCGGGCCGCGGGGACCCCGCCACGGCCTGCGCCCGTTTTCTGACAGTCTGCCGTCGCGCATCCAGCCGCGCCCCAAAGGCTGGGTTGAGGGGGCCCCCCCCGCACGACTACAGCGGCGGCCGGGGCGTCGACGGCCCTGCCGAGCGCCGGTTACCCCGGGGTGCACCGGTCCCCGGGTGCACGCGCGACCTTTCCAGGGCACCGGAGGAGCCCCTGAACCCCGCTCCCCCGCCGCGCGCACCCGTCCCCGAGGCTCGGCCACGCCCGACGCGGGCGAGGCGGGCAGGGTCTTGGGTCCTGAGGTTGGAGGTCCGCTCCCCCCACCGCCCCGCGTGCATTTCGGATCCCAAGAAGGCCGGGGTAGGGGGCGGGGGTCCGGGACCTCGCCGGACTCGTGGGCCTGCGGGCCACGCTCCCCTCGGACGCCCTCCCCGCCCTTCCCAGAACCCCGGCGCTGCAGGCCCCGGCCCCCAAGGCCTCGTGCTCCTCCTCTCCTCGGACCCCACTTTGTGTCCAGCTCCGATTGGCCCCGCGCCCTGTCTGTGGGGAAGGCTCGGCCTCGCCCGCGCGCCCCTCCCCGGTGCACTGCATCTGGGCCACCTGCCGGCGGGGCGGGGCCGGCGGCGCCGGAGCCCAGGTTCACCTGTTGAGACGCCCCCCCCCCCACACACCTGGCCGGGGTCGCCTGGGTCCCCTCCCTCCCAACCCACCCCCACCGGCCGGGGTCCCCTGGGTTCCCCGTCCCGCGCCCCCACGCTGCAGCTCCCCGGGGCCTCTGGGGAACCAAGCTCCAAGCTCCATCTTAAGTTCCAGGCCGGCCAAAAAGGTCTCAGCATCCCACTGAGAAGCTAGGATCATCTGTCTGGCCGCGCTGGCATTTCAGATCCCCTCCCAGGTTTGATCATATATACTGCAGCGTCTGCCCGCGGGGAACCCGCTTCTTGTTCATTATTTTATTGTTTTGGGGACACTTTTTCAAGAATGAAGAAAGGTTTGTTTAGGATTTCGGGGGAGGGGGGAAGTGGTACTGAAGTTAGCACCCGGGGCTTTCTGTTTGCTAAGCAGGTATGGATCACTTAATCCAGGCTTCTGGCCCATTAAAACCTGTGTGTGTGTGTGTGTGTGTGTGTGTGTGTGTGTGAGAGAGAGAGAGAGAGAGAGAGAGACAGAGACAGAGACAGAGACAGAGAGACAGAGAGAGACAGAGAGAGAGACAGAGAGACAGAGAGACAGAAAGAGAGGGAGGGAGGAGAACTTAGGACCTGATACTGTTTCCTCCCTCAAGCCTGGCATTCTACCACTTGAGTCACAGCTCCACTTCCAGCTTTTTGCTGGTTAATTGAGATAGGAGTCTCACAGGCTTTCCTGCCTGGGCTGGCTTCAACTGCAATCCTCAGATCTCAGCCTCTTGAATAGCTGCTCAGGTTACAGGCATGAGCCACTGGCACCCAGCCTGCTCAACCATTTTTTATAATATGCAGTATTTTTACACATCAATACATTTGTCCCCTGTTTAAATCTAAGAATTAAAAAAATAAACTTACAGCCAGTGGCTCACACCTATAATCCTAGCTACACCGGAAGCTGAGATCTGAGGCTCCTGGGTTCTAAGCCAGCCTGGGCAGAAAAGTCCATGAGACTCTGATCTCCAATTAAATACCAAAATGCTGCACATCGAGCTGTGGTTCAAGTCTTGAGCACCAAAGCTCAGGGACAGCAGCCCTGAGTTCAAACCCCAGGACTGGCACAAAACACACACACACAAAGAGGCTTATAAAACTGAAACTTGGGTTGAGCTTGGGCTAAGGATGTTTGTGTATGCTTCGCCCACTTTTTTTTTAATCTTATCTTTTTTTTTTTCTTTTTCTAGACAGAAGCTCTCTCCATATTATCCAGGCGGGCCTCAAACTCTGGAGTCCAGCAGCCTCCAGCCTCAGCCTGTCCAGTGTGTGCCTCCGCACCTGGCTTAATGCAAATCCAGATACTCACACACGTGCACACACATACACATGCATGCACGTTCTAGAAGCCAGAGACTCATGCTGCTAGGCAAGCCCTCTAAGGCTGAGTTGCAAACCCCCTCCCCCCCCCCCGCCCCTCCTAGCCTTTTTGCTACCTCCCTCCACCTGGCTCAGCTGTGCCCCAGCGGTTTCCCCAGCCTCCTTGGCTGACACTTTCCAGCAGGTTCTCATCCAAAAGTGTGTAAGAGACTTTGGAACTGGGCTCTGGGTCCCCGGGGAAGCAGTGTTGAAACTTCAGAGTGCTGACTCTCCCCCCCATCCCCCTCCTCCCGCTCCCAAAGCCTCACGTGCACCTGAACTTGAACCATGAGCTCCTGTAGGCCTGAGTACACATCAGCCACAACATCTGCTCAGCCAGCGACAGCAGGGTTCCGTGAGGATAAACTAGGTTGCCCAAGCCAGGTGAGCAAAGGCCCTGAGGCCGTGTGTCAGGAGGGCTTTTGCCTTGTCACCTGGTGGGCCCGCAGCTGGGGCGCACTGAGGGACACTAGTGTCTTCAAGTCTCCCTCAGGGAAGGACTCTGCTTGTACCCACGGAAGAGAAGGCCAGTAGTGGGGTCACCTTCCTGGGCTGGTGGCTCTCAGAGCACAGGTCAGGAGAGGCCACGTGGTCCTTCACTGACCCCTCTGAGCCTCTGTTCCTTCATTTTTAAAAATGAGAGCCTTAGGTTGGGCACTAGTGACTCATGCCTATAAGCCCAGCTACTCAGGAGGCTGAGGCTCAGAAGACCTCGGTTTGAAGCCAGCCTGGCCAGGAAAGCCTATGAGACTCTTATCTCTAATTAACCACCAAAAAAGCTCGAGTAGTTGGAGCTCTAGCCTTGAGCCAAAAAAGCTAAGGGACAGTGCCTAGGCTCTGAGCTCAAATCCCACCACTACCAAAGTAGATAAAATATTAAGCAATTTGCCTTGGACAAAGCCACTAATGGACGCCCTTCTTATGATGGTTTTCTTTTCCTTTTAGTTTATTGACTTCGAGAAGTAGTCATGGCTGTACTTGGGAGTGTGAACTCCAGAGCCACTTAGTCTGGGTTCAAGTTCTGACTCTTCAGGTCCTAGTCCAGTGGTCGTAAGGGCTCTGTGTGCCTCGGGTCCCTCATCTATAAGGCAGGAAAGCCGTCAGAGCTGCCTGGCAGGGAGGAAGGTTCACGAAGCTAGAACCCGCTGGTGGAAGTGATGTAGGAATCCCATCCCCCGTCCACTACCATGGCTGCCACTCTCCCTCCATGATGCCCATGTTCCAAAACCTTTGGTCTGGCAGGATATGGTGGTACAAGCCTATAATCCCAGCTACTCAGAAGTCTTAAGTAAGTGGACTTTGATCTGAGGCTGGCTCCAGGCAAAAACAGAACAACCTACCTGAAAAAAATATAAAATAAAAACTAACGGAGGTGTGAGTGTAGAGGGGGAGCTGGAGGAGGCCTGAGAAGGGGGGTGTTGCTCCCTCCTTCCTGCTTTCCCTCCCATCTCAATACAGTGCTTAGCTTTGCTCTACCATGAACTAATCCCAGACACAAACCCACAGGACACTTGATTTCATGTCAGGCCTGAAAATACAGCGCCGTATAACCATGGAAAGAAATCTGTGCAATCACAAGTCCAAATAAACCTTTAAGCTGGGCACTGGTGGCTCACACTTGTAATCCTAGCTACTCAGGAGGCTGAGATCTAAAGGATCTTAATCCAAAGCCAGCCCAGGCAGGAAAGGCCAGGAGACTCTTATCTCCAATTAACTACCAGAAAACTGAAGGTGGAGTTGTGGTTCAAAGTGGTAGAGCACTAGCCTGAGCAAAAAAGAGCTCAGGAACAGTGTCCAGGCCCAGAGTTTAAGCCCCAAAACCAACACCACCACCAAAAACAAAACAAAACATAATACCTTTTTGTGTCAGTACTGTGATTAAACTCGGAGTCTGGGTGCTGTCCCTAAGCTTTTGTGCTCAAGGCTAAAATCCTACCACTTGAGCCAAACCTCCATTTCTGGCTTTTTGCTGTTTAATTAGAGGAGATAAGAATCTTACTGACTTTCCTGACCTGGGTGGCTT